ATGGACAAAAACATTACAGGTGATTAGAAATATCAAGTCCTCTTGTTTACCCTCATACTAAAGGAAAAATGCAAGAAAAGTGAATATTAATTGATGTAATAAATAAATACAATTGGAAGTAGTTTATATTCAACAGCTGGATCAGCTGAAACACAGGCCACCACACAGACAATCAAATAAATGGCCTGTCTGTCACTTCACTACTGAGCCATGCATTAGACTACTCGATGTAAAATCTAAGGTTCGTACCTTTAACTCTAAATACTTTGAAGTAAAGATGCATCTTTTATAATGGCCCTTAAAAACGATCTCTATGACTTTTAAATAGCTATCCATTAAAAATAAATAAATAATCATTTGATTTATTTTTAAACTTTCATTTCAGCCCGTTTGAGGAGCCTTTGGGTTGTTGTTATTTTGGCGCCCTCTACAGACCTATACAATGAATGTGATGTTTTGTAACAGTCATAAAAAGCAAGAAAAAAGTGTAGTATTGTAGTAAAAGTAAGTATTCAATCCTCACAATAGATTGCTGCATTTTGATCTCCAAAATTGTTGGTCTTATATTTGATAAATCTGGAGTTCCTCAAGGCAGCCTTCTAGGACCCTTTATGTTTCCTTTACATTAAGTCAAGGTTTCAATCCAATCAGTCTTATTGCTGGATTTTAAAACACGGTAAAAGAGATGAGACTAACCAATCAGCTGCTCCTGAATGAACCCAAAACTGAGCTTGAAACCAGGTGTGATCAAGACTTTGCAGAGGCTGCCTGTACGTCATTACCTTGCATTTACACTTACCACCCAAACAAAATCTGCTCAAACACATGCGCTTTAAAAATGACCTTATCTTCCCTTGACTTGATGATGTCTCCAAGAGTTGTTGTCTTTCCCATTACAAAGATTTCTTGAACTACATCTATTTGCTGAGTACCTTTCATTTGTATAACAATACTGTGTAGTTTTTCTGCACCTGTGCATTAAAAGTGCTGATCAAACTGGTTTATTACTTTGATATTATCAATCCTATACCCTTAAAAATATGTTACAGGTGTAGACTAGCAGAAAAGACGAGAACATTCTTTCCTACGAGTGTGTTTACCTTTCTTGAGAGAAAATCAGGGGCAGCTGACTCTTATTCTTAGCTTTGCTGTGTCCGTAACATATCAATTATCCTTAATTACTGCACGCTGCACTGGTAGACCCCTGCTTGTGCCATTATACCGTCACACTAAATACCCCCTAAGTCTGTTTTTCCTGTCTGCAATCACTCCGATGTAACGATTCATTCATTAGATCTGAGGCTCCAGAGTCTCTTTAAAGCGTCTCTAGCCGACCGTATAGCTCACAGTGCTTCATGACGCCTCACATCTTCCTAACCCCATACTGTGTTGGTGCCTCCGGTCTCCTAGCAACCGGCCCTCTTAGAGGAGGTGACAGCATTTGAGTGGGCACCCTCACCTCTAGATATACAACCCCCCCGCTCCCTCCCCTTCATCAAGCGGATGCTCCACAAGTCAAGAAAACACACCTCGCTCTGTGTGAGAGTCTGCACTCATGCATCAGGGTCACTGTACAGGACTCGTAATGAGCCTGAAATGTTATTTTCTCTTGATTTATTCATACTCCAATCAGAGAAACACAATGAACACAAAGTCACCCGTGAAATTTCCAGGAAGTTTCTCACAGTTAGGGGCCTGAAATCTCCAAAGTCGCTTGTTCACACGTTCATCACAGTATCAAGACTTTCCTACAGGAAACAAGGAGGAAGATGGGAGGTGGAAAGTGATGTCAAGAACTCGCTATGACAGCAGCAGAGTAATCATGATGGCACACAAAGACACAGAGATGACTGTTTTATTAGGTAAATCCAGATTTGTAACCAACTGAATTAAACAAACAGAAATTAAAAAGACAAACCCATTAAACAGTTTCCTGACTAAGGGCCTGTGTCCACTCAGTTCCGATGTACACTGTTACAGAACAAGACCTGCTACGGAGGGTGACTTCACCTTAGCCAAAGTAAAAACAAACAAAATGAAAAGTACGGTAATGTATAGGGCCGTGGTGATATGGGATGCTCTGCCAGGACACAATAAATACAGATTTAAAGATCGAGTTAAAGAACATTTACTTGTCAAACAGCTCCTTATTTAGACGAAGCTCGGTTTGTCTGACCTACTTATAATATCAGAAGTCTGCTTCTGTATTATGTATTGGGTACTGTTTCGGTAAATTAATTAATTCAATTCAATAATGTGGCGTGTAAGTTGATATTTAAACATCTGATTATGTCAGAACTACAGCTACACTGTGGAAATGTATAAGGTCCAGTCATACGTGTACGTTGTTTGTATTTTTCTACTTTTCTTGTTTTGTTTTTGTCTTGTCTTTGTCTGTTGTGAGTTGTTGTGGTTATCAACATTGTAGTGAGGTTTGTAATGTGATGTTTTTTTGTGTCTGTGCACTGCAGAGCGAACTGTATATGTAGACTACAGGAAGAATAGCAATGGCCTTAAACGAAAGTGAAACGAAACTAAACTATCAGCATTTTTGTGCAAGGTCTTCCATTTAAGAGCACTCCTCAGTGGTGCTTATTATTGTTAGGCTACAAAAGTTGTCTGATGGCATTTTTGTTTTCATCAGTAGTTACTGTTACATGTGTTTTGATATGCTCTGTAGGCTTAATCTCTCAAAATACAAAACGGGTGATTGAAATTGTACACCAAGACTGGAAAATTGTACCCTTAAACACAAAGGTTGCTGATTAGCTTCTCCTCAGCTATAATTGTCAGCAAAGTCGATTTCCCTCATCTGATCCTTCTTGTTTTTGCTTGGTTAGAATTGGAAAAGTGACACTGACGAGGCTTGACTTGAACTACTTTCATCACAGGGCACTAAGGTCACCCAAACCAGTAGGGACTGCTAGTGTTAAAAATGCTGGCAGTGGACACAGGCCCTTAAGCATTGAATCAAAAGAATAAGTTTTAAGCTTTCCTGTATTCACTAATATCTGCTGTTACATACAACATAAAATCATCACACAGATGTTTCATTCATGTGAATTAATTTTTATTTCGTCAAAGAAAAAATTATTTAAAACAATTTATGGCATCTACAAAACAAGTGCTATACAGCATAACCATATGTGTAGCTAGCAGGAAGGCAGAAAACAGATGTTTTGAGAAAGCTACACATCTGCATAAAAACACACATTGCTGAATACATTGGAAGTCTGCAAACAGGGACATGATCTAAAACCATTTGAAACCACTAAGACTGTAAATTCATCATCACAGTGAATTTTTCTCATACTTATTCTTTCATGAGTCAAGTCATCAACATGGATGCTCTGTTTCACTCGGTGTTTATCAGGATAATTATGAGCCAACCTTCCTCTCTACTCCACTCTACTCCCTGAACCAGTAACACTGACATGAAAATTAATCATACCACTAACATGCGGAGCAGTCTGGTGTCACCAAATGGCGCATGAAATGTGTTATCACAATGAATTTTTTGCTTTTGGCACATCACTTCATGCCATGTAATCTCTGCTGACGTACAGTATGCTGCGCAGAGACCTGTGACTTTAAAAGCGTGAATGTCATAAATGGGAGTTGACGCTGGTTGAACGGAGCAGAAGTCCACATGGGGAGGCAGCTGGTATAAACAGATCAGTCAAAATATCGCAGCTGTTATTAAAAGTCAACATTGATTTATCATTAAGCGGCCGACGTATTTATGTAACCTTTTTATTCTGACCTAAACCGTTTTTTTTTTCTCCTTCATGAGCTGAAAAGTTTTTCAGCCTGAACCAAACAAAGTTGCGCCCACATCACAGTGTTATTTGTGTTACCGCGGAGGTCATGGGGTCATCTGGCTCTGACAGCACAGAGGAAAGCGTCGGTACATAACGAGCAAAAAGTCATAAAACTACCATCCTCGTTATACACCACCCTATCTGATCCCATTTCTGATGAGGTATTATTGAATACAAGTACTGCAAGTAATGATGACTATACATACAGTTACTGCTGTGCATCAGCCAACGGATACTTACGATTATATCTGTGGTTAACCAGGATCAGCTGCTTATATACTCAACATCTGTATTAAAAAATTGAGAATTAGATTTTGTTATTAGAATAAAATTATATAAAAGTAATGATAAATATACATGTTTAAATATGTAAAAATACTATTTTAAACCTGATTATTCCTGTGAGCAGCATGTCAGCACGGAGGAGACTCGAGCTCGGACTTGGGCCAAGGCATTGTTTATCAGGTTTGTAGCAGAGTGGAAGAAACTGTTCTTTTCGTGAGAGGTTTTGGTCCTGATGGACTGCAGCCTCTCTCCAGTGGAGGGTCTCAAAGTGTCTTGTGTCCAGGGTGAGAGGGGTCTGCCACAATCTCTCCTGCACGCCTCAGGGTCCTTGAGTTCCCAGGGAGATGGCAGGTTGCTGCCAATCAGCCTCTTCGCAGAGTGGACGCCACGCTGCAGCAGCCTGCTCTCGTCTTGAACAGAGGCTGAAGTGTAGCAGACTGTGATGGAGGAAGTGAGGATTTCACATCAGGAAAAAGTCAACTCAATCATCCAACAAAGAAGAGGCAAAGAGGCAGAGCAGAGGCGGCATTAAAGATGGGGTGGACAGGAATCCGTTAAAGTATGAAGCCTAAACTGAATGGTTTAGTGATCTTCGCGCTCAGTATGAACATCCAGACTGCTCAGGTCGTCTAGTGCAGGTTTGTTTTCTGTCTCATTAGGGGGCAGTGTTCAGTGTTTATGCCCCCAATATCAGGAGCAAACTTTAGCAAATGTCAGGCCTGTTGAGACTCTCACTTCTATTAAAACCAGGTGAAGGATTCACCAGTTCACAGCTGCTGTTTACTAGATTACTTTAGCGCTCCTGTGAGGAACTTTCTGTCTCTGTCAGTTCTGGCGCTCATCTTGTCCTTGACATGCTTAAGAAATGATAAGTTTTATATTGGGGGCTTTTCTGGTCTTTCACTTATAGATGGAGTACCACTGTACTCTGTCTTTAGAGGTGGGGAATGACATGCAGGAAAGACGCCACATCATATTTATCATTTTGCACTGGAGACATGGTTGTTCTTCTGCCTTAGCGTCTCGGTCTGATTGTATTTCCATGAAGTAAAGATCATAAATGTTCTTCCTTGAGCTGCGTCACCCCGTTGTAGTCTGTAATGGACTGGCCTGAGGTCTCGCTACAAATAAGCGGCTGCTGGAAGAGAGTAGGTGAGTTGTGTTTAGTCTCTTTACTAAAGAAATTAGGCAAAGTTAAAAAGATGTTTGGTGGCTAGTGCTATGGCTGGGACCCTATATGTCCTGTTGATGAAGTTAGGTGCTGTTCTGAGCATTATTTGTGGTTATAGAGTGGCGTTTTGGTTGAGGTTTGTTTATGGCTCCTCAGACTGCTGTGTATTGCTATCGTGTGGTCGTTTCTAAAGTTGGTATAACTAGAGAAGCACGCGGTCGGCAACATTCATCTCTCAGTGTTACGGTGTGTTTGACCCCAAATTGATTTTACCCCGGAATATCCCTTTAAACCACTAGTAATATCTTTTGGCAGAAAATCTCATCCTGCTGGTCTTTGACAGTCAAACTGTGAATATTCCATGAAGAAAATATAAAACTGGCTGTTTCCCTAGGGCTGCTTGGCTCACGCCTACTCCTCACACCAATTTCAGGTGTTTAATAAAACTGTTTCAAAATCATAAATCTTTTCCCCGATGGTCTTGTTTGCTTTTGTGTGTCATAGAAAAACATCAGGATGAACTTTATTCTTTTCTATCAATGTCCAAAAATTCCTTACAGGAGCTTTAATGTCCCTCATAATATCATAAATCTGCTCATTCACAAAACGGTCATATTTTAACCTCCTTGCTTTGATTTCTAATGCTTGTTTTTAAAGATTTTAATGCAATATGTAATTTAAATTTGCATTTCCATGTCTTACAAATAAAGTAACCTGAAAGTGGCTCAAATATATAAAGACTGTCAATCCCTTCTTTAAATGTTTATGTTTCAGTTGCATTATTATTGGTCAGTTTATTTTACAGTGTGTTGATAGTCTCGAGTTCTGATGACTACCAGGTCCTTTCTCACTTTGATAGCTCTGACGCACCAGCAGTGATCCCTCTGAGGTCTCCAATGTAAACCACATCACGCTGCGCTCACATTTGGGCTGGCTGCAGCCTGGAGCCACACTGATGAAGTGACGTGAGCTCTTGACGACGCTAAATGGCAGCACTTGAAATAGCCTACCTGCCAGCCCCGCTCACCCACTAGCTGATGCGATCACGACCCCATTAGCAGCGTTTCAGCACCGCGGCGCCCTGGACAGCTCCTCCGCAGATTTTCTTTCACTCCAGGATCATTAATTTAAGGTGGAAAATAGAGACACACAATTCTGTTTAGTTTTCACCTCAAGGAGCTGGAACTTTAGGGAAAAGAAATGGATATAAACCGACCAGCAAATGTCTCCTTTTTTGACTTCATTGGAGGAGTTCAACTTCTCCAGGGGGAGGACACCAGAACAGCCATGCCGGTCATCCTCATCGGGATCTGCGTCTCCGGAGCTGTTGGAAATTTGCTCGTTTTGCTGATTTTCATCCGTGACTTTAGGAACGGAAAGGGCTCCGAGGTGAAGGCTCTCCTCGCCTCTCTGGCTTCCACAGACTTGGTGATCTTGCTGCTGTGCGCCCCCGTGCGCGCCATCACCTACTACAAGCAGTCCTGGACCCTGGGGAGTTTTGTGTGCAGCACCACGGACTGGTTCCAGCACTCGTGTGTGGTTGCGAAAACTTTAATCCTCGCAGCTACCACCAGAGCCAAACACACTTTGGTCCCCAGCACCGGGTCGGGGTCCTTCTCTGGACCGACGTGGATCCACGGAGCCCTCGCGTTCATTTGGATCGTGTCCATGATGTTCCCTCTTCCTCAGATGCTTTTCGCCGCTTTGGTGCCGCACGGACGCGACAAAATCTGCGTCTCTGAGATGCCGGTGTGCGCGTCTGACTTCATGAGTTTGTTCTACAAGATTTATCCAACTGCGACCTTCGTGGTGCCGGTCATCTTTACGCTCGCCTACTACACGAAAACGCTCCACGCTGCCGTGAACCACGAACCCAGCCCGCAGCACCAGAGCAAAGTCACCCTGGTTCTGCTGTGTCTGAGCGGCGCCCTGGGGCTCATGCTGCTGCCAGAGTGGGGGACTTTCACCTGGATTAGACTCGGCTACAACAAACCACCTGTGGGCCTCATCATCTTCGCGCAAGTCTTCCTTTACGCATGCAGCTCTCTCTCTCCAGTCGTCCTCATGACCATGTACGACGACGTGCGCCAAGGGCTCATCGCCATCTGGTTCATCGCGACCTGCAGAGGCTCAAAGCAGCTCCCCAACAACAACACCACCAAGAAGAACAAGAAGTGTACAAAGACGGAGGGGAACGGAGCAGAAGTGGGGGCCAACGCCGTCGCCAACGCCGTCTCAGGGGGGGACACAGAGAAGGAGAAGACCATCCCGGACGTGGAGCACTTTTGGACAGGGCGCAGGAACACGCAAATCGAGGAGGAGCAGGACCCAGTTCCGTGGGAGAGAGAGGAGAAGATGTTGTAATAAGGCGGATGAGATGTAAAAGAGTCAGAAGTTGGTTGTTAGATCGTGGACCCGCAGTGCAGACCCTCGTTGACCGGTTGTAGTGGCCTGTGTGCTGTCGTGAGCTTTATTAGATTATTAAAAAACAAACTTTGATGTTTTATCTTCATGTTTCTATCTTCTTTTATTTGTGCTGCACAGTCCAGTAAATCACCTTCATTGTACAAACATGATGCCAGTGTAAATACCCATAATAACACTGAAGCTCATTGATTGTGAGTGTGATGCATAAAGTGGATATTAAAACCTTCTCAAATATGGACTGCTCTGGGTTTTTTTCTCTGGGCATTGGACCTCCTCAATCCATTTAATAGAGGAGGTTATGAGGGGGTGCACACCGAGCAAACAGAGATCATTTCTCCATATTAAATCACATTTAATCCAGCTGCACGTGGGGGATCAGATTCAATCATAATATCCTGCTGAAAGCAACATTTTTTTTGTTGTTTATGCAATAAAAGAACACCTGAATATCTGTGCCTGCAGAGTCTCAGTAATGCAAAACAACTGGATTCAAAAAGAGGCCATAAAAGTGCACCATGTGTGGTATTATTTTCACACTTAAGTGCCTTTACAACATTTGGGAGTGACATTTGTTAGAATTTATCACCAAACTTTCTCTCTTAGTATGTATAAGAGTCATAAACGGTCATCAAAAACAGTGCTGTGATATTTCACTTGAGTAAATAAGCACCAACATTTGAGCAAAAGTATTTACATGTAAAAAAAGAAGTTTTAAAATTGTACTTAAAGCTCCTGTAAGGAGTTTTAAACAGGTTTTGAAAAATATAAGATTTCATATAGAGCTGAAACGATGTACCTGAAACGATTACAAAAAATGATTGAGTACTCATTTATAAGCTCAAATCGTCTCTGCTTTGCACGGATTATTTTCAAGGTGTCAACATTCTTATGTGACCACGGTAGGAGGAGAAGTAAGCGCAGTTTTGCAGGATGGAAAAAATGAACGATGAGAGGGGAAAGAAACAAGAGGAAAACAGAAGAAGCAACGACAAAAGAGCAGAAAATGTCGAAGGTGTGGGAGGTTAGTGACACAGAGCTTGTCTGTCTGTCTGTCTGTCTGTCTGTCTCAGGTGAGGAGGAGCTTCTCTCTCCGTGGCTGCAGCTGAAGCATGACATGGTGTCTCCTGCTGTAAGACGTTGTCATTGTCGTTTGTGTAGTGACAATATGCGCGTTTTCAGTGCAAAATAAAGAAAAAAAACACATGTCCTCTCTGGTCTGAGTGCCGTAAATTGTTTTGTTCGTGGTACCGACTCGACCACTGGCTCCTGTTTTCCTCGTTTTCACCATTTAGAAATAGCTTCTCTTCACACAGATGGACTCATTCACCGTTGCAGGTGACAGGGAAATAAAATCAGCAGAAACTAGAGACTTTTTTAAATCTCGTTAAAAGTTCCTCACAGGAAGTTTAACTAAGAAAAATTACGTTTTATCCAATTACTCGATTAATCGATAGAATATATCGGTAGAATACTTGATTACTAAATTATTCGATAACTGCAGCCCTGATTTCATACTAATGCTTCATTATGACCTACAAAAGCAAACAACACTGACAATTTCTGCTTCTCTACCGCTTTAAAGCTCCTGTAAGGAACTTTAAGGTTGTGCCAATTTTGGCGCCCCCCTGTGGACAAAGCCACCTTTGTTTATCCGTTCCTCTACATGTCTAAATAGTACCTTCTAAAAGACCTCATCCTGCTGACCTCTGACAGTCAAATGCATCATTTTTGTGAATATTTGCTGTTTAAACCTTTTCTCCAGCAGCGTCACCAACGTTTAAAACCCCGTGATGGGCGCCATATTGGAGATGTCGACTCAACTTCACTTTAAAACAACAGATGTACCGCCATGATTCCCGCCCCTGCCCCTCAAACAACCTGAGCACGCCTCTGATCACTATGACTAAGCTGTTAAAAATGTTTTGGGGGTTTTATAGATTTTCAGCACCTATTTGTCAATAATTCCAGCTCCATCTGTGCAGAAATTACGAGTATTCTTCAAACTGTGTGATATGTTTCTGAATAAAACATTTATACAGCCACATCTGCTGACCAGAGTGACCACAGGAGAGGGTGCGTTTGTTCACAGGGTGAATAAATAACACCGATATCTTCTTATATTCATGATACTGTCTTCATAAATATTAAAATGTGTGTATACTGTTAAAAAAAACATGAGAAAATGGGCTCAGAGCCTCGCGCGGTGTATCTGAGTGTTTATATTGTTCCTGATCTGATATAGCTCGTAATGAATGGTCATTCGCTCCATAGCACCGTTCACGACCTGCATTAACAGCGCGACCTTCCAGGGGTCGGGCGAAATAAACCCGCTTTTAGTCGTCTGTGTGTTTACCACTAAAGCAGCGGCCGCCTGTGGATGCGACACCGCGGCAGATTTGACATTTTAGTCTGCCTGAGTGAAAAGAAAGGTTACAGGTTGAAGAGGGAAAAAAAGCACACAGCCTCTAAAGCTCTTCAGCATGATTGTGCTCCTGCACATTATTAATTCATTGAAAATAGACCAGCATGTCTTCCAACGTCTGCCCCGGGGTCACTGGGATTTTTATCTCTGCTGTATTTTTAGTTCTACGATGTAGGAGCATTTCACAATGGATGACAGACGTACCTCTTGTCTTCTCGACTAACCAAGGAGCATCTGTAACGTTATTCACACACCTCTCTGCATTATGATGAGGGCACTCTCTTCCTGACAACAACGTGCACATAACCTGTCAGAGCGTAAAATACCTTACAAGGCTGAAAGTTAATTGCCTTCATGTTTTTAGAGCAGTGAAAGGTTATTTGTAGTTTGCCCCAAAAATGGAAATTTACGTTTCACAGTATCAGAGAAAAAACAGAAAGTGGTATCATAGGGAAAATTCCTTAAAGCTCGATAGTACTGGCTGTCTTCAGAGAGGGTAAATCCTCTTAATTTGAGTGTTTCAGCACTAATATAGTACCCCTGCCCCCCCTGTCTATCACAGTGACCGAGTTGGGCCACCCCAGTCTGAAAAGCCTGGACACGCCCCTGCTCACAACATTAGGCTGAGCTCAACTATCATACCAGAGCTTGAAAACCTCACATACTCCCTATTTCTATCCTTCTGCTTTAATCTAAATTAACATACTTATCTTGTTTTTATGCGTTTGTGTTTCTATTTCATCTTAAATGTTTTTTTACCTGCTTTTATTTATTTCATCTTGATGTTTTCTGCAGTTTGTTCTTTTAATTTTATTGTGCAGCACTTCGGTAAACTTGAATGTTTTTTAAAATGTGCTCTATGAATAAAGTGGATTGAATTGTTTTATCTGTTTATATTTGATTTCTTTTTGGTGTTAAAACTTATTCTCTTGTTTTCTTTTACTCTTTTAATTACATTTATTGCTGTATAAATAAAACTCGATTAAATGATTGATGGCAAAGAAAGGACAGTAGGATAAAGAGCTACTCGGTTGCACAAAAACCATATTTATGACTGGTATTGTTTTTTCAGGACCAGTACCGATACAGACGATTCATGCAACTGATGCCGATATTTTACATTGATGATTGTTTTTCAGAGGCGATGCTCATCAAAATACCACGAGGATACATCCTGGTCGTATAAACAGCCTCAAGAGGAAGCAGGTCAGCCATTGAATCGCACCTTGTTTTCCCTCCTGCTGTTTATTTTGAAGTGCTGTTTAGATTGAGTTCACATCCCGCTTTTCGGAGCTCATCAGCTTATTTTTTCAAACAGACGGCGGCTAACCTTTAACCCATGATATGAAGAGGCTCTCTGCCTGTATGAATAATGAATGAGATGACTTTCATTAACTAAAGGCAGCTCTTCCTCTTCTGTACATGTCAAGTAGAAATGAGCGGGGACAGAGCTGGCATATATTACAAACTTAAACCCCCCCACCCCTTTGAAATGGGACCTTATGGACTTTATCCCCCAGAGCAGTTTAATTTCTTCCATGCCAGCATTGTGTTTGAATTGCCAATTGAACCAAACATTGTGGATGCACTGCAGAACATTACATAACAGGCTCCATTGTTGCTGCTAAGACAGTAGATATTCCCCTTATTTTGCATCACTGAGACACAGCGCTGATATCTCATAAATCAGTGCAAACAGCTGGGCGTGCCTCCTGTGTGCTGGTGGGGGATGTTTGCTTTCTTTCCATTCAAACAGCTGATTTCTCAGTGACACGGATGAGGAGTCAGCAGAGAGAGAGAGTGAGAGCACACACTCGATCGCTCTGGGTTATGAGTAAAGTGTCTCAACCTCGACCCCGATTCTCTGCTCAGTGCTTAAAGGTTGTGTCTGTCTGAACGGTAAGTGCCTCCATGATATAGCGCAGACGTGCTCTAACACTATGCAGGTTAGGAGGGTGAATCTGTATTAGAAAAGGAAAATACATCTCAGTCACAGGAAATTGGGCAGAGTAACACAGGACTATCTTTTATTCATGCGTGATCCTAAAACAGAATAACCTTTTTTTTGTTTGTGCATCAAATCCAGAGAGGAGATTACGGCTCTACTATCTGAAAATAAAAATAAACACACAGAGAGTGAAATCAATCCTTTTTTTGTCTTTGGGTTTTCCTTTTCTCCTTTGACTATTTTGGATTTGATATGGAAATGTGGTCACGTGGTTTAGTTTATTTTGTTTTTTTTAAGGTGGGGTAGGCAGGAATTTTTAATGGCATTTTTAATGTCTGAAATCTCATCAAGGGGGAAGGTACCTGAACTTTCAACTGTTTTCATCCAGTTCTATAACCTACAATCTGCCATGAAGGGACTTGTTGCAAAAACAAAACAGGAAAAATATCAAAACTATAGCATGACCAAGAATCGCTTAATGTAGCAGAAGTTTTGCTCTCAGGGCTGATGGTAAACCACAAATTTCAGGATCATCAGAAGTGTACGTTGACATGTACGGTACCTGTTAAGTTTAAGAAGTAATGTGTTGCTCCACCCTTCCCTTGCCTTGCCATGATTTGACTAATTGTGTTGTTTTATTTCCAAGTTTCCTGCTGAATTTGACTCGAAACATTCGCACAGAAGAATCTTGCATGTCAGTTTGTTCTTACCAGTGTGCTGAGGTTTTGTAGCTAAAGGCCTCTGAAAAGAGGAGCGTCCTGCTCTTTTATCAAGACGTACATGGTGTTTTTTCTCCCCACTCAACCGTGATGGATGTCGCTGCTGCCTCAGGCT